ATATGCCATGGGTGGTGGGTTCAAACCTGGTCCCAGCCAAAACTGCAAAAAAAAAAAAAAAAAAAAGAAAAGAAAAGAAAAGAAAAAGAATAGCAGGGTATTGTGGCAGGTGCCTGTAGTTCCAGCTACTTGGGAGGCTAAGGCAAGAGAATTGCTTGAGCCCAAGAATCTGAGGTTGCTGTGAGCTGTGACACCATAGCACTCTACCCAGGGTGACAAAGTGAGACTCGTCTCCCACAAAATAAAAGAAAAAAAAAAAAAAGGTAAACAGAATTTGCATGAATTTTTGGAAATGCAGCCACAGACCACAAGGCTGTGATGTGGGTCCTGCTTTTCAGGACAGCCCTTCCTCAGGAGGCCCAGGAAGTGCTGCTGTCACTGTGTCCCGATGGTGACCCAGGTGCTAAGGAGGATCTCAGAGCCGACAGCGATGCACCACTTCCTCCTTCTAGGCTCTCAGACGCTGAGGGGATGGGTTCCTGTGTGTCCCTATCAGTGCCACTTGCAGGCTGAGGCACACGACCTGCTCACCATGCAGGAAGCGGGGTCATGGCGTGCTCCGCAGCAGAGCCTGCACGGCGGTTAGCGCCTGCCGTTCAGGAGAACTGTGGTACAGAGTCACTTCTACCTGCTGCAGGGGACATGGATGAGACCATAACCAGCCTCCAGAAGTCTTAGTGTGTTCAGAGGGGCAGAAACATAATCTCCATCTCTAACTTAATACAAAGAATGGCTCAGGTTATATCGGTGTGTGATCTTATTTACAAGTTTCAGCTGCTCATGAAACCGAAGATGACAGGTGAAGTCCCCATCCCCACAAGCCGCCTCACCTGTTTCGAGTAGCCCCCATAGATGACAATGCTGCCCTGTGGCGTGACCGACACCAGGCACCCCGACCGAGGTGTAGGTCCCATCCCTGATGGGCACAGCTTGCTCCACGTGAGTGTGTCCAGGTTGAAGGCAAACACATCGTTGTAGTAGACGTAGTCCCTGTTCAGAACAGAGCAGCACAGATGTCACAACCAGGACCGCGGCAGTGACAGGAAAGAGTACACCTGACTTCAGTCAAAGGCACGTTTCCTGTTTAATAAAGCTTCAGTTCATGTGAGGACCACAAGTGAGCCTGCAGAGGTGTGACTACTCAGTCTGGAAGTTACGCGTCTTCCCTCACATGGTCAGCAGCACCAGTCAGACAACTAACGGTGCTGGGAATGGTCTCTGCTGCGTGTCTCATGCCAACAGAAGTAATCAGAACAGAGACATGGCTGAGCAGGACTGAGGCCAGACTGGAGGACGGGTGAGGGTGGGGCGTTCCCAGGAATCTGAAGACACCACAAAGATGAGCGGGCAGAGGCCCAGGGGCACCGTGATGTAGCCCCACTCAACACCTGACTAGATGCCAAAGGACACAGAGCACCAGACTTGAAAGAGAATAAGCGCTGTGGGGAGTAACAGCCCTTACACCTTTAAGACAAGCCTGGGCAACATAGCAAGACCCCACCTGTACAACAATTTTTAAAA